ATCAAACGTAATAACTATATTATTTAAGATAAATAACTTTTGAATCAAAATAGCACCTGGATAATTGACGACTTCATGATGCATTTTCTTGAAGAACACTTAAAGAAATTTTTCAGCAACCCACAAATCGGCGATTAGTATGATCGATTAATTCTATGCACCTGAGATGAATTTCGGCTTAATCTGTTGATCATCATCAATCATCCTATCCCTCAATGAAACTAATGGGAAACTATTAGGCTATACCGTAATGAGTTAATCAATGTTTGATTATCAGTCACTCATTCGGTTAGTCCGTTTATACGTCAATTTATATGTTAGCTTATTGTTTGGCGCCGAGGACTAGCGTCAGACAGATTTCTAGATCTTCTCTCAGTGTGTGAGCTTTGGCAGAAGACAGCCGAAGTCTGGGGCAGAGTCCATCGAGTTACTTGGCCAGGACGCCCTCTAGAGTCCCCAGACTTTTAGTCGGTACGTAGCGTTTGTCTCTCGCCTTCCTCTCTAGAAGCATGGACAAGACACATCCAAATCGTCGCGGCTGTGAATTCTCAGTCTGAAAGAATACCACCTGCGTGCCAACGCTCTGTCGGCTATCTGTACTCCCTCCCATGTCAACACGAATGTAGCGAGCGATTCGATTAAGAGACCCATTTCAGCCGTTTGCACCTTGGATCGCAGCTTCCGGCCATGACCCACGATGATGCCACATGTTGCAATTTTCTATATGCAAGAAGTTGGTGCGAATACGCTGCAAAAATCCGGTTTAGTGATAGGATACGATTGGTCCTCCTGGTGAAGACAACGATGAAATGGAAACTTCTCCAAAGAGGTGACATTACGGATGGTACGAACTTGAACACAGTTGCTGATGCCAGAATGTAAAATATGGCTGATAGAGTTAATGCTAATTCAAGACCATGTCGTCTGCCATTCACGTGGAGAAGAATTGGAAAATTGGAATGCACATTCAGAACTTATATGCTGTCTGTCCTGTAAACCGAAAATACAGTCACTTCAAATCGGTACAGTCTGAAAAAATATGTTAAGTGGCGTGAGAGTACGAATCAGTTAAGTAACACTTCACACAATTCTTGATTTATTTAATTAATTGCTTTTTTTAATGATTCATACTGTATACTGGCCGTTACTGAGCCTCCAGACGGATTAAGACAAATTCGAACCCATAGAGCGCACCCACCAGGCAGTATGGTTTTTTCCTGCACACCCTAGTGTGACTACTGCAGAACATCATGTCCCCTTATTGTT